ATATATATATATATATATATATATATATATATATATGTGTATATATATATATATATATATGTATATATATATGTATATATATATATACATACATATATATATATATATATATATATATATATATATATATATATATATATATATATATATATATATATATATATCCATATACATATACATATACATATACATATACATATACATATACATATACATATACATATACATATACATATACATATACATATACATATACATATACATATACATATACATATACATATACATATACATACACATACACATACACATACACACACACACACATATATACATATATATATATATATATATATATATATATATATATATATATAATATGTATTTGTATATTTATATGTATATGTATATGTTTTATATTTATATGTAAATGTATATATTTTATATATATATGTATATGTATATGCGTATGTATATGTACATATATATATATATATATATAATATGTATGTGTATATGTATATGTAGATTATATGTATGTATACGTATATGTATATATATGTATATGTATAGGTAGACGTAGATGTAGATGAAAAGTATATGTATATGTATATATAAATATTTATATATATATATAAATGCATATTTATATGGATATGTTTATGTTTATGTACATGTTTATGTATATTTGTCTATGTATATGTGTTTATATGTATTAATTTTTGTATTGATTTATGTATATGTGAATATATGTGTAGATGTATAGATGTATGGATGCTTATATATGAATTTATATAAATATGCATATATGTATTTATGTATATATTTATCCATGTATTTATGTATATATATATATATATATATATATATATATGTATATATAGAATACATATATATATGTTATTTATATATATATATATATATAATATATATATATGTGTGTGTGTTATGCATAAATGTATATGTACATATGTATTTTATATATATATGTATTTATATGTATATTTGCATGTATGTATATATTTATATATGTATTTATATATGTATTTATATATATATATATATATGTGAATATGTGTATTTGCGTATGCGTATATGTATATACGTAAATACTTGTATATGTGTATGTGTATATGCGGACATGTGTACGTGTGCATATATGTACATATATGTATATATGTACATATATATATATATATGTATATATGTGTATATTTATATATGTATAATGTATAAATGGAAAATTTGTATTTGTATTTGTAAATATATACATGTATATATGTGTATATGTATATATATATATATATATATATGCATATATGTATATATATATACGCATATATATATATATATACATGTATATAGATATATAGATATATATCTGTATATGTATATATATATATATATATCTGTATATGTATAAAAGTATATATGTATATATATTTAAGTATTAGTGTTTATGTACAAATGTATATATGTACTAGTGTATATATATACATATATATACATATATATGTATATATATATTTTTTAAACACACACACATATATATATATATATACATATATATATATATATATATATACACAAACACACACACACACATATATATATTTATATATATATATTTGATGTATTTATCTACACACACACACACACACATACATTCATATATATATATATATATATATATATACAAACACACACACACACCCACACAAATATATACACACACACAGATATATATATCATATTACCATATATATATATATATATATATATATTAGAGTCTCATATATATATATATACATATATATATATGTATATATATATATGCTTACACACTCACATACACACAAACACACACATACACACACACACACATATATATATATATATATAGTACTATATTTACACACACATATTTATATCTACACACACACACATATATATATATATCTATATCTATATCTATATTTATATATATACATATACATATATATATATATTTACATACATACAAATACATATATATATATAAATATATCATATATATATATATAATTAATACATTCGTATTCTTGTGTAGATCAGTGGACCGATAGCAGCTTACTTCGTTATGCAGTCTTCTATGGAAGCTTCGTAAGCATACCATATATATATTTTATACACGAGTGTACTCTGAAGTATGCTACTGGCTGCAAGAGCTTGTTAGTTTATGCGTACATCGGCGCATTTCCATGATTTGCAGACCAGAATGACCATTCAATGCGGACTGTGTGGATTTTGCTGCGATTGTTTCGACAGGTTATTGATATCGCACATCCAAAAAACGATACTGTATACCGATTTATTACTGTTATTGTCACAACATTTTTGTGATACCGGAAACCATCTATAAAAGCAATTCTGTTTATCCTTTGGTTTAAAATTCCTTCATGGAAAGTAACTGTTATCAATACACAATACACTTGTGCATTATTGTCAAAAATCACAGATTTTAAAGGAAAAACGAGTATATCATGACAATGGATATCAAGGATACCACCCCCATTTCCATGCCCGAGGCAAAGGAGATGCTAGATAAATATATAGCCAACGCCGAACGCAGACAGAGAGCCAGCCAGGCGCTGAATGATTCCGACTTCAAAACGCCGCAGGCGTATTCCGCTTTGAGGACGTTATCAGAGAATCTCGAGTTTACGGATATGGCAGATTGTAATACAACACTTCATTAAAGAATTGTGTATTCAATACATTTATGAACGGCAGGTGCCAAATTCTGATGGAACAGTCTCTGTTTACACTGCACGGTCCTTGTTTACGCCGATGTTAATGGAGTAACAGGTTTCTTCGAGTATTGAAAGGTCTTCTGAACTAATGAACCTGTAGAATGTACACAGTATATATATATATATATATGTAAATATATATATATATATATATATATATTATATATATATATATCAT